GGCAAAGCCGCAGGACGAGGAAGGCGGCCAGGCTGAGCGCGCCGACCCAAAAGGCCAGGATCACGAAGAGGGGTACCCGCCAAGGGGAAACACTGGGGAAGAAAACATCTGCGAGGGGAAAATAAACACACAGCTCAGCTCCCGGCCCCCCTCGGCCCCGGGCAGGCATGACACAAAACACAGACCAAACCTAGTAACAGGCTTCGGATCTCAGAGAGCAGGGGAGAGACAGAGAGAGAGAGAGAGAGAGAGAGAGGCTGTGTCTACACTACCAACGTCTATCGGAAAAAGATACACCCGTTGCGGTTCCGGTATCCCGGAAAAACTCTATAGTCTAGACATAGCCTGAGATACAGAGACAAAGAGAGAGAGAGACACACACAAGCTATGTCTACACCAGTGGTTTTCAACCGTGGTCCATATGGGACCACGCCCTACCTCTAGGGGGCCACATCGAAAAAACGGAACATTAGGTAAACGATGTACCTTTTTTTCCAACTAACAGCGGCTATGAGGAGGGGCACAGAGGTAAACGAGGCTCAGAAGGGGGCCATGACCTTAAAATGGTTGAGAAACACGAGTCTAGACTGCAGGCTTTTTTCGGAAGACGCTTTTCCGCAAGAGATCTTCCGAACAAACGTCTGTAAGAAGGCTTCCTTCAGAAGAAGCTTTTTTCAGAAGAGATCTTCCAAAAAAACTTCTTTTGAAAGAGAGCATCCACGCTGCAAAATGCATCGAAAAAGAGATCTGCTTTTTCGAAAGAGAGCATCAAGACTGAATGAGCGCTCTCTCGCATGTAAGTTATGATTGCTATGGAATGACCACTAGGTCACCTGTGTTTTTTCCTTTTTCTTCGAAAGAACTCCCTCTTCCCCATCCACACATGCCTTTTTGAGAAAGAGCTCTTTCGCAAAAAGGCTTCTCTCTCATAGAAAGAGGATTACCAATGCCGGAAAACTCCCTCGGTGCTTTCTATTTTCTTGTGGAAGAACTCGACTGCAGTGTGGAAGCTCCTCAAGTTTTGTCGGAAACTCTTTAGAGGGTTTTTTCCCGACATTTGGCCCATGACGGAAAAGCCTCATCTTGGAAAAGCCTCTAGAAGAAAAGCGAAAAAAGATACTCAAATTGCAACTTTTCTTTATAGGGTAAATATAGCCCAAGATTGTAAATAACTTCCTGAAGTTAATGTGTTCACTGGGTCTGACTGTACAAGATAAGAATAATTGAATTCAAAAAATGAATAGAGCTGTGATGAGCAAGATAAATGTTTAATTGTGATTACTTGTTTGAAATACTTGCAATAATATAAATGGCAAAGTAGCAAACTCCTTATGAGTCCACCTTTATATATTTTAATAGTAAGACGGACAAGTTAGGCCCACCACTACGAACTGGAAGAGATGTACAAAGGTTGTATGACAGTGATACAAAAACAGACAGTACCATCAAAAGACCAAATGAGTTGTTGCCCATTAACAAGTAAGTATTGCAAATCAGTGTGCTTTATCTCTTTTTCAGGTATGTTCCCCCAAAAGAGTTGGAATATTGAAAGCATTTTGTGACTTTTGAAATATGCAAAACTTTCCTCATAAAGTTATCTGATAACATTGTAACTTACTAGCTTCTCCCCTTCTAAGTGTCTCTGTGAATAATAGACCAAAACCGGGTGTCTTGTGAGAAGGAGGAAATAAATAAGTAACTCTGTATAGGTTTGGTGTATATAACTCTCATATTGGATAAAATGTTTTATAGTCGGACAGAAAACACAGTATAGTGCTTGCACCAGAAGACCTTTTCCACCATTTCTTCCTTTGGCTGCAGCTTATTACATTTACTCTTATTTCAACTATCCCCATGTTGACGGGGTGTATGTCACCTCAGAAAGGGATACATACGGAATGTTTCTAGACAACAAATGACTGCTTATTGGAGCACCTTTTCTTAGAACTCAGAGTGAGAGTCCTAGGTAGAGCATAGAATCTCCAAAGGATGAATGTAGCTTTCAGAAGTTATTGAAAGTCATATATACCATTGCTTCAACTAGGAATGTAAAATTTCGATTAACTGACTAATCAAATAGTCGATGCAATTTGCAGTCGATAGGGTGCCTCCACCTTTGAAGCATAGTATCAGCCCTAGGTCTGTTGCTACACTTCAAAGGAAAGTGCTGCAGAGAGCACAGGGCCAGTGGTGCTGCACGCTGCGTGAAACCTGGGGTCTAGCCCCTGGCTCCACACAGTGCCACCGCTTTGAAGCACCCCCTCTTCTCCCCTCTCCCTGCTGCCTCTGGGAGGGGAGCGACTAGTTGACTAGTTCACATCCCTAGCGGAACTGGAGAGGTTGAAGAACCCGTCCTCGGTGAGCCGTTTTTCGGCCGAGTATACCGTCTGGATCTCCTCGTGGCTGTTTCTCCAGAGCATGTCTGGCTCCGGGTACCACCCCGCCGAGAGACACGTGACCGAGACCCCCTCGTGCTCCTGCTCCCTGACATGGAGGTGAGGGTCCGAACCGGCGCCTGGGGGCAAGAAACCAGCCAGAACTGTCCCTTGCTTTCCGACTTGTCTCCTTCCTGGCCACACAAGGGGCCGGTTCCCCTGCCACTCCACCCCATGGAAGGGACAGAAGGGACTTAGAAAAGTCACAAAAATCTCACGGGTAAAGGCATTTTGACTGGACATTGAGTCTAATCCCCTGCCTTCATGGCAGGACCAAGCACCATCTCGATCATCCCTGACAGGTGTCTGTCCAACCTGCCCTGAAATATCGCCAGAGATGGAAACTCCACAACCTTCCTAGGCAACTTATTCCAGTGTTTAACCCCCCTGACAGCCAGGAAGTTTTTCCTAACGTCCAACCTCAACCTCCCTTGCTGCAGTCTAAGCCCATTGCTTCTTGTCCTATCCTCAGAGGCCAAAGAGAATAATTTTTCTTCCTCCTCCTTGGGACACCCTTTTCGATACCTGAAAACGGTTCTCAGGTCCCCTCTCCGTCTTCTCCTTTCCCAACGAAACAAGCCCAGTTCTTTCAGCCTCCCCTCCTAGCTCCTGTTCTCTCGACCTTGCATCATTCTCGTTGCTCTTCTCTGGACCCTCTCCAATTTCTCTTGACCTCTGACCTTTCTTTCGAGTGTGTCCCGCTCATTTTGAATTCTGACCCAGCCTCCAAGGAACTCACAACCCCGCCCAGCTTGGGATCTTCTGCAAGCTTAATAAGCGTCCTCTCTCTGCCGATATCGAAATCGTTGATGAAGTTATTGGACAGAAACAGCCCCAAACTAGACCACTGTGGAATCCTCTTTGTTCTGCCCTGCCAGCAGGATTGTGAACCGTTAATAACGACTCTCTGAGACCGGTTATCCAGCTGGGGTGTGTCTAGACTGCACCCACCTTGGGGTGTGTCTAGACTACAGGGTTTTGTCGACAAAAGTGGACTTTTGTCGACAAAACTAAACCTGGATGTCGTCTAGACGCTCTTTGTCGACAGAAGCTTTGTCGACAGTATCTGTCGACAAAACGTCTGTCGACAAAAGCCTGTCGTCTAGACGTACCCTTGTAGTAGCCTCACCTAGGTTGTGTTTGCCTAGTTTATTGGTAAGACGATCACAGGAGTCTATCAAACCTCTCGCTGTACTTTAGCGATCGAAATGTAGCCGTGTTCGTCTGGTGTAGCTGCAACAAAAGACAGGACAATGTAGCACTTTAAAGATTAACAAGATGGTTTATTAGATGATGAGCTTTCGGGGGCCAGACCCCCTTAGATCTGAGGAAGTGGGTCTGGCCCACAAAAGCTCATCACCGCATAAACCATCTTGTTAGTCTTTCAAGTGCTGCATCGTCCTGTCTTTTGTCTCTGGACTTTAGAGTGCGTCTGTCGGTCTGCCTGTCCGCGAGTCCGTTTGTCCAAGAACTCCTCCTAAAGGGTCCGAGCGAGGGCCCCCAAAAGTGGTCGGCCGCTTCCTCCTCTCCCAACGTAAAGCAAGCTCGGGGTTGGGTGGAGCCAGGACAACCGGGAGTGCTGGGAAGGGGACTGGTTTCCGTCATAGGGAAAGGGAGGGGCTGTTCAGAGGGATGTGATACCGAGAGTGGCCACTGGAGGCAGCGAGCCCGCAGGGGAGAGCTGTACTGCAGAGAGACCACTGGGGGCAGCCACACCACCTAGAGCAGTGATAGAGATGTAGCCGTGTTGTAGGTCAACCTTCTTTCAGAAAGTCAAGTTTAGATCAAGAACCAGTTTTTCACTGGGCCATGAGATTTCTTCAAGACTATCGTTAATCAAAAAATGGAAGATCTAAGACATGTCTGGGAACCAACTTCCCAGCCTGGGTAAGTTTGAGTAACCTGTCCCTAGGCATAGCTTTCAAATTTCTCAAAATCTAAACGTCTCATTCTGAAATGCAAAGTGAGAGAGCTAGGGAGATTCTGTCTTTTAACTGGCTTTTAAAAGATATGCACAGATTGTCTGCACCCTACTTTAAGTGGACGAGGGAGGAAGGGACCATTGTATGGCCTTCGCCCCTGCCCTCCCCGCCCTTGGCCTCCTGCCCTGAACCCCCCCTCATCCCCGAGGCCCCGTCCTGACTTCTGCAGCCGGCTTTTAAAAAAGCCGGAAAAGAGCGTCTACACTGGCCCCGATCCTCCGGAAAAAGTGCCCTTTTCCGGAGGGTCTTATTCCTATTTCAAAGTATTTTTATTTAAATGCCGCGGGGGATATTTAAATCCCCCGCGGATTTCCCTACGACGACTGGTGAAATTTACATGCCCCTTCCGGAAAAGGGGCCAGTGTAGACGTAGCCATTGTGAAGAAGAACTTTCTTTTATTCGTTTTAAACCTGCTCCCCATTCATTTCCTTTGGTGTCCTCTAGTTCGTCTATTTAGGGAACTAATAAATAACTTTTCTTTATCCGCCCTCTCCACACCACTCCTGATGTTATAATTGGACTTGTTCAGTTTGGAAAGGAGAAGATGGAGAGGGGACAGAAGAGCAGGGTTCAGGTATCTAAAAGGGCGTCACAAGGAGGAGGGAGAAAACTTGTTCATCTCGGCCTCTGAGGACAGGACAAGAAGCAAGGGGCTTAAACTGCAGCAAGGAAAGTTGAGGTTGGACATGAGGAAAAACGTCCTGCCTGTCCGGGTGGTGAAACACTGGAATAAATTGCCTAGGGAAGTTGTGGAGTCTCCAACCCTGGAGATATTGAAGATCAGGTTGGACAGATGCCTGTCAGGGATGGTCTAGATGGTGCTTGGTCCTGCCGTAAGGGCAGGGGACGGGACTCAAGGTCCGTTCTCGTTCTAGGATTCTAGCCGGGGTCTGCCAGGGGAAAAGTCTCCGAGGGTAGAAGGCTCAGACACAGGGAAAGCCGACGGTTGGGCGCTGACACGGAGACAGTCGCCCTAGGGACGGGAACGGGGAACCGGGGAACCGGTTAACCCTTACGTGGGAAGAGCAACATCCGTGGCGGGAAGCAGCAACGGGAGGAGGGGGTGTGAATTCACGAAGGAGGATTTTACACCCCTAATTCACACCGGGCCGGGTGGAGGAGTCGCCGGGGCGGTTTCCTGGCCTGGGGGGGTCCCTCTGGGCAGCTCCCCCCCGCCCCCCGGACGGAAACCCGCCTCACGCGTCAGATGGAGCGTCACGGTGCCACTGCGGCGGGTGGCGTTGGACCGGATGTCACAGAGGTAGGGCCCCTCGTCCGGCAGGGTGAGGTTCCAGATCCGGAGGGCCAGGCGGCCCTGCTGTATCCCGTCCCGCAGCAGCTCCGTCCGGCCCCGGTAGGCGGGGCCCTGCTCCTCGTGCCCGTCCGGCCAGTACTCGTGCACGTCCTGGCCCTGCCAGGGCCGGCTCCATGTCACCTGCATGGCCCGGGCGCTGAGCGCCGGGGAGAGCTGGCAGGGCAGCACCACGGAGCCCCCCAGCGGGGCGTAGAGGGGGTGGGAGGGAGCCAGCACCTGGAAACTCACTGGAGAAGGGGCCGGAGAGACAAGGCTGCGTCAGAGGGGGCCAGGGGCCGTGGCGTCGCCTCTCCCACGCCCCAGACCGGAGACCCCAGCGGATCCGGCCGAGAAGGGCGGAGGGACTGTGTGCGGCAGGAGGAAATAAGAGGGGGAATGCGTCGGGAAGGAGCAGGGTGTGGCATGTGGAGGCAGGGATGGAGGGGTGTACAGATAAGGAGGATCTGTGGATGGATGGATGGATGGATGGATGGATATAGGGAAGGATGAGTGGATGTGAATGGGATGGATGGAAGGAGGGATGGATGGGTGGGTATGTGTATGGATGGATGCATGGAGGAAGGAAGGGAGGGATGGATGGATGGATGGATGGAGGAAGAGAGGGATGGGTGTGTAGGGGGATTGATGGGCGGACGGAGTGAGGAATTGGTGTGTACAGAGAAGGACAGAGGGAGGAAGGGAGGGATGTGTATGAGGAGGAAAGGACAGATGGCTGGGTGTGTAGAGGGATGGACGGAGGGAGGGAGGGATGGATGGTGTGTACAGGGATGCATGGATGTTTGGACAGACAGATGGATGGGTGTGCACGGGGAGGGATGGACTGGGGTGTATGGGGATGAGGGAAGGTGGGAGGGAAGGAGGGATGTTTGTACGGACAGACGGGTGGGTGTGTACGAGGATGGATGGATGGGTGTGTACGGGGATGGAGGCAGGAAGGGAGGTATGGATGGACAGATGGATGGGTGTGTATGGGGATGGATGGAGGGATGGACGGACGGGTATGTACGGGGATGGATGGACGGACGGACGGACAAACGGGTGTGTACGGGGATGGATAGATGGATGGACGGACAGACGGGTGTGTACGGGGAGGGATAGATGGACGGACGGACAGACGGGTGTGTACGGGGAGGGATAGATGGATGGAGGGACAGACGGGTGTGTACGGGGATGGATGGATGGACAGACAGATGGACGGACAGACGGGTGTGTAAGGAGATGGACGGACGGACGGACAGACGGGCGTGTAAGGGGATGGATGGACGGACAGACGGGTGTGTACGGGGATGGATGGACGGAGGGACAGACAGACGGGTGTGTACGGGGATGGATGGATGGACAGACAGATGGACGGACAGACGGGTGTGTAAGGAGATGGACGGACGGACGGACAGACGGGCGTGTAAGGGGATGGATGGACGGACAGACGGGTGTGTACGGGGATGGACGGACGGGTGTGTACGGGGATGGATGGATGGATGGACAGACGGGTGTGCACGGGGATGGACGGACAGATGGGTGTGTATGGGGATGGACGGACGGGAGTGTACAGGGATGGGCGGATTGACGGGTGTGTACGGGGATGAACGGATGGGCGTGTACAGGGATGGACGGACGGATGGACGGGCGTGTACGGGGATGGACGGACGGACAACGGGTGTGTACAGGGATGGATGGATGGATGGATGGATGGACGGGTGTGTACGGGGATGGATGGATGGACAGACGGGTGTGTACAGGGATGGGTGGATGGACAGACGGGTGTGTACAGGGATGGATGGATGGATGGATGGATGGACGGGTGTGTACGGGGATGGATGGATGGACAGACGGGTGTGTACAGGGATGGGTGGATGGACAGACGGGTGTGTACAGGGATGGATGGATGGATGGATGGATGGACGGGTGTGTACGGGGATGGATGGATGGACAGACGGGTGTGTACAGGGATGGATGGATGGATGGACAGACGGGCGTGCACGGGGATGGACAGACAGACGGGCATGTTCGGGGATGGACGGGCGTGTACGGGGATGGACGGACGGATGGACGGGCGTGTACAGGGATGGATGGAAGGATGGACGGGCGTGTACAGGGATGGACGGACGGATGGACGGGCGTGTTCGGGGATGGATGGGCGTGTACGGGGATGGACGGACGGATGGATGGGCGTGTTCGGGGATGGACGGGAATGGACAGACGGGCGTGCACGGGGATGGACAGACAGACGGGCATGTTTGGGGATGGACGGGCGTGTACGGGGATGGACGGACGGATGGACGGGCGTGTACAGAGATGGACGGACGTGTGGACGGGCATGTTCGGGGATGGACGGGCGTGTTCGGGGATGGAAGTGGGGGCCATGGATGGACAGTGACTCCCTTTGCCACCCGTCGCTGTGCGTAGGCCTGGGTACCACCCCGCCCTCTTTCCTCACCCCAGACCCATGCCCAGCGCTGCTGCCCCATCCTGTCCCTGCCCGGCCTGGGATCTGGCCGGGCCCTACACCCCCCCCCATCCTCCCCAGGGCCCCCTTACCGGCTGGGCCCCCCCGACCCGCCCGG